CCCCGGGGGTACCCCGCCCGGGTGGCCCGGGGTTTTGCGGGTAGACCCGGGTACCCGGGTTGCGGGTAACCCGTGGACCCGGGTCCCGGGTCTGCGGGTTTTTTACCCCGAGGAGGGGTAGGACTGGGTTTTCGGGCCACGGTTACGGTCCCGGGGGGGGGAAACGATTCAAACCGGTACACAAAAATCCGAAACCCGGATAACCCAAATTTGGGTAAGGGGGGTAATCAAAATTTTGGTAACCCGGGGGAAACGGAAATTTTTTTGTTGTAACCGGATAATTTGGGGGTAATCCGGGGTAACCGGGGTTCCTTTCCGGTGCCTTTACCAGCGTCCCCCCCCGCTGGGGTAACCCGCAGCCCCGGGCCCCGGGTCCACGGGTTTACCCGCATACCCGGGTACCCGGGTCTACCCGCGGACCCGGCCCAAAACCCGGGCGGGCGGGTAACCGGGTAACCCGGGTAACCGGGCAAAAGTCAGAGCCCTACTGCCGGTGGGCCGGGCCGGTCTGCACCAGGCCGCGGCCGACTGGACGCCGCGGCCAGCCCGTCGGGGAGGGTCGCGGCCTCGCCGACAACCTCGGCCACCCTCTCGGCCTCGGCCTCGGCCCCGCGAGCTGGCGGGGCCGGCAGGGCACACAGGGCAGGGGAGGTGGACCAACGAAACCAATTAGAGACTTTCAGCGACCGCCGCGCGTCTACGAGTCGACGCTCTACGCCCTCCTCCCCTGCCTGCCTGCCCGCCTGCCTGCCGGCATTCAGAGGGAGAAGAAAGACCCGCAGGGGATGAAGTGGTGCGAAGAAAAAGGGAAAAAAAAAAAGAGGGAGAAAAGTGCGCGAATTGGCCGAAATTGCCCCGCTGCCGCGCGCACTCGACTCCCGACGTCGGCGGCCATCGGGCATTTTCTCGGCCCCTTTCGACCAGTTATTTGCAGGTGATTCGTGCGGTGGGGCGGCGCGGGGCGATTGTGAAATCGGCGGAAGGAAGCGGGTGGCGTGTGGCGGACACGGGCTGGCCGGGACTCCCAGCACCCCCATAGTGGGGGAGAAGAGGGGGAGGGGGAAGGGAGCAGTAGGGCTCGGACACACACTCAGACTCACACACACACCGAGATGAATTAAGAAAATGACTGAAAAAGCGTCTAGACAAGGCACGGCGTGACCCCCTCCCCCTTTGGTGTGTGTGTGAGGACCGGGAGGGTGAA